GTGCGGGAGCGCGTGCGGCCCTTCCCCGACTTCCCCGCGCCCGGGGTGCTCTTCCGGTGGGCCGGGGGCGCGCGGCGGGGGTGCAGTGGGGCTGGGGGCGCAGCAGGGCGAGCGGTGCACGTGGGCTGGGGGTGCATTGGGCCTGGGGTGCACTGCAGTTAGGGGTGCACGTGGGCAGGGGTACGTCAGGGCTGCGGGTGCGTTTGGGCAGGGGGTTCATGTGGYCTGGGGGTGCACGTGGGTAAGAGGTGCACGTGGCTTGAGGGTGCACCCTGGGCCATGGGCGCATCGGGGCCTTGGGGTGAGGGGTGCAGTGGTGCATGGGCTGGGGATGCATTTGGGTAGGGGGGGCACTGGGTGCATTTGGCCTTGGGGGTGCACTGAGGAGGAGGTGTCATTGGGTGGGGGGTGCGCTGGAGGTGGGGGAGCGTTGGGGCTGGGGGCTCTTTGGTGCTGGGGGTGCCTTTCAGCAGGAGGGGGGTGTGCAGCCCCCTTGAGGGGTGCACTGAGGACGGGGGGTGTTTGGGGAGGAGATGCTTTTCATTTGGCAGGGGGTGGGCAGGTTTGGGCAGTGCATGTGGGGGGGTGCAGGGGGCTGGGGGCAGAGCCAGGCAGGGCCTGACCGCGGGTTTGGGCGCTCTCTGCCATGGGAGCCCGTTGCAGCTGATGCCCGTCCCGCCCTTGCAGCGACATCAGCCCCTTGCTGAAGGACCCGGTGGCTTTCGGGGCTCTGCTCGACCTCCTCGAGGCCCATCTGAGGGCCTCCTTCCCCCACATCGACTTCATCGCAGGTGAGTGTGGAGCAGCACCCCGAGCCCGGGCTGGAGGGGGGTCCCGCTCAGTGTGGGGGTCTCTGCGAGGTCCAGCGCAGCAGCCCCTGGCCCTGCAGGTTTTCCTTCTCGGAAGGCTGTTTCCAGCCCCASGAAGGTGCTTTGCATGATAACGTTTGCAGCGTAGTGAGAATAAATCACTTGGGCTTGTCGATAGTGCAAAGTGCAGCGAGCCCGGACCGAACCCGGTGCACCCGTGGGGGCCAGAGTCTGACAACAGTGCACCCAAAGTGAACTTGGCTCTGCAAAGAGCTCACGGGAAGGGAGGCAGGATGTCCTGGGAGGTGTGATCCCTGTGCTGGGGATTGGAGCCCATGGAAGTGATGGCAGGAGGTTCCAGCCCGCTGGATGCGGGCGGGTGAATCCGGGGTGCCCTGAGCRTCCTCCAGCTGCCCCCGCTGCCCGCAGGTCTCGACTCGCGCGGCTTCCTCATCGGGCCGCCGCTGGCACAGAGGCTGGGCATCGGCTTCGTGCTCATACGCAAGAAGGGGAAGCTTCCCGGGCCCACGGAGTCCGTCTCCTACGCGCTGGAATACGGCRAGGTGATGCCTGGGGCTGGGAGGTGCGGGGGGTGGTCCAGCCGGGTCCCGCGGGGAGCCGTGCACRTGCACTGCATGGTTTGTTTCTCTTAATTAGTATTTAGTTTTGGGGGGTGTAAATGGGGGGCTGTTTGGGGAGGCGAGAGGAAGGGGCAGCGTGGGGCTGCTGCTCTGACAGTAAGCGCTGCCCTCGGCGCCCGGCTCCCAAACGCACCGGCTCCKGCGCTCCCCGTGCAGCAGGATCCCCGGAGCACCCACCTCGTCCCCGCTCCTGCATCCCCTAACAGTGAGCGAAGCCGGTGTCAGACCTGATGTGTCCACGTTGTTCCTGCTGGGCGCTGGGGACAGCCGCGGCRCGGGACGCACCCGCCGCGGGTGTTTTTAGGCACTGAGCACTAAGGAGCTGCCCCTTCCCACGCAGGCCGAGCTGGAGATCCAGAGCGACGCGGTGGAGCCGGGCCAGAAGGTGGTGGTGGTCGATGACCTGCTGGCCACGGGAGGTGAGGACGGGCGCGGGGGGCGGCCGGGGCCGCGGGGGCCGGCGCTGACCCGTGCGCCCTCCCGCAGGCACCATGCGCGCGGCCTGCGAGCTGCTGGCGCGGCTCCGTGCCCACGTCCTCGAGTGCCTCGTGGTCATCGAGCTGCGGCCGCTGCGCGGGGCCGAGCGCCTCCGCCCGCTGCCCTTCCACTCGCTGCTGCAGTACGACTGAGGGACACCGCCGGGGACACCACGGGGGACAGCGGGGACACCACAGGGACACTGCAGCCCACCCCGTGCTGACCCTACATTGCAAACACCTCCATTCCTCTTGTTTTCCAAGCCTCAGAACTAGTTGTGTTTAGGAGTTTTTTTTTTTACTTTCATGCTCATCCTTCTGGGAAGGGAGAGTGGTTTTTGGGAAGCATGAAGCAGCTTTCGGGATTTGTTGTTATTTTTTTAAGGAGAGCGGAGGGAGATGGGTGCTGCCGGGGCAGGAGGGACTGGGGGCAGTGCGGGGCCTGGCGGTGCCTTGGCCAAGCTGTGCTGGTCGGGCACAGGGCACCCTTGGGTGTCAAGGGAAGCGCAGCCGCCTCTCGCCTTGTGCATCCCGTCCTGCTCCGCTCGTGGCCGTGGGAGCTGGACCCACAGGTTGGGCCTGGCTCTGTCCTGGGAGCAGCTTCATCCCCGCCTGCCAAAGCTCGGGGCTGGTGTCCCCGCCGAACAGGGCCTGGACGCGCTGATAAAATAAACGCTGCCCTGCTGCTTTTTTAAACAGTCTCGGCTTTGTGCGTGCAGCGTGGGCGCAGTCCCAGGCCGTGCTGCAAACCGGGGAGCTGCCTCRCCGGGGTGCCACCCGCTGCAGGCAGGTCCCTGTCCCCTTGCAGGGCCACCCCTCACCGCCGCGMTGGAGGGTGCGTGCAGGAACCCCGCTTGGGAACACGGTGCCGGGGCTGTGCAAGCCYTGGGCCCAGCGGCTCCACCCGGGAGCAGGGACAGTGGGACAGGAGCACGGGATGAGGCAGCTCCCACACGCAGCAGTGCTGCAGTGAGCCAGGACCTGGCACCGCTGCAGGAGGGGGCCCAGCTTTGTCCCTTGGCCCTGGAGGTGGCCCTGGCCTTGTCCCTTGTTCCCAGCCCAGTTTCTCCCCTCGGAGTCTCCTGTGGGGAAGGGGCTCTGGCTCCTCCTGGCCTTGCACCCAGCTCCATTTACAAAAGCTGCTTTCAGCCCTGCAGCCCCCGCTCACTTTTTCCAGCCCGTGTTGCTCCAGCCCTTGGACAAAGCCCAGCCCTTGCCTTGGAGAGCCGCAGTGCTCCGGTGGAGCAAGGAGGAAGAGCGCAGGGTTAACGCAAGTCAACTCTATTTAAAACATTTAATACAAAGATGTTTTGACAAGCCCTGCAATCGTTTCCAGCAAGAGCCGGAGCCGTTTCCCTCCCTTAAAAACAGAACAAGGCCCAGAGCCCTAGAACGTCACCACTTGGTGACTTCACTCCTTCCTCCGTGTCACCCTCTTACCATGCCCAGTCCGGACTCCATCCCGCAGGATTCGGTCAACGGAAGAAAACCCTAGTGCCAAAATTGCCAAAGAACGGGGTAACTCAAGAAAAGGCTGCCTGCTCCTCTCGCTGCAGGAATGGGCACCATAGGCGTTGCTCATCTTCAGAGCTCTTGAGGGTGGCGAGTTACATCCCCATGGACAGAATGGAGGTGAGACCCGTCCCTTGCAACTTAGGTGTCCCCAAAGAAGAGCTTCCCAATCGCTGGACCCKCCGATGCTCCCACCAACCTACGAAATCCCCCTAGTCCCAGGGCACTGTCCCGGGTTTGCTACATCTAGAGCTCGGGTTGTGTGCAAGGTGGCTCAGGAGGCTTCTTCCTCCTTGATGGCCTGGGCGAGTCTCTCGGCGATGGCGTTGAGGTCCTTGCCCTTGTCCAGTTTGATGTAGGTGTCCGTGCGGATGGGGTGCAGGCTCACCCAGTCGGGCAGCAGCTCCGCGAAGAGGCGCAGGTGCTTCTCCATGTCACCTAAGGGGAGCAGCAGGGTAAAGCATCACCCRGCTGCCCAACAACATCCCTAATCTAACGGGGCTACGGCCATTTCTAGTCTCAGCAACCCTCTGGGTTCTGGTCTTACCCATTGCTCATCCCTGTGCTGGAACCACCAGGGCTGGATTCACCCTTGGATCAGGGGAGCATCATCCCAACCTCAATTCCTGGACTAAGCAGCTGCCCTTGTGTCGGGGACAGAGGGACTTGGTGGCTGCACACATGGTAGCCAACCCTTTGCTGCACCCCAGGGCCCTGCAGGGAAGGGTTTCACGCGGATGGAGGGAGGAAGGGGGGATGCAAGAGACCCCAGGGACGCCCCACGCTGGGGAGAAAGCGCCCACAGCTCCGTACCAGGACACATCTGTGTGGGGCAGCTGTCGCTCATGCGGGCACAGGCCACCTCCAGGCTGAGCGCCTGCTTCTTCTCGGCCACRAAGACGCTGCGCAGGACGCGGGCCATGGGCGGCAGCCGCGCCAGCATGGCCAGCCGCTCCTCCCGCTGCGGCGCCCGCGTCAGCAGCGCCCGCAGCCGCTGCGCCTCCTTGGCACGGACCTGCCGGAGCACAGGGCATGGCTCGGGCTGCGCGGGGCAGCGCCAGCGCCGCCCCCAGCGCCACCCCGTCACTCACCCGCTCGAGCAGGGCCTGGGACACCCCTTTGAGCGCGCTGGGGGTGCTGGCAGGGGACGGCGCGTTGGGGGCCACCGGCTCCGCCGCGGGCGCTTCGGCCGCTTTCAGCGCCAGCTTGGYGAGAGCTTTTTCCATCTGCTCGTGGGGAAGCGGCGCTGGGTTAATGCAGTGAGCTGCCCTGCTGCACCAAAGAGAATCTCCCCCCGTGACGCCCCCACTCCCGACCCAGCTCCGTGTTCGTGGCCCAAAGCTCCCGGCTCRTGTGGCTCTCACCCACCCCACCTGCAATGGGGGCACCTTTGGGTGCTCCACCTCCTCTCCCGGCCCAACAGCAAATACCAGAGACCTCTCCAGCCCCATCAGCAGCCTCCATGCCCAAGCCCTTTCCTTCCCAGGAGAACCTTAGGGAGACCTCAGGAGTCCTAGGGCTCAGAGCTGGGCTCATCCAGCAGCATCTTCCTGGAAAGGCAGCGGCTCTGAGGGCTGCTGCTCGCTGGAGACGCCCCCTTTGTCACTCACCTTGGGGGTCATCATGCCCCGGGCCGTGCTCAGCACCTCCTGGGCTGTGGTGACCCTGTCGCTCTGGGGCGGCCGCGGCAGCTCGGCCGGGGCGATGTCGGGCACCTCRTCCACGTTGAAGCGGGGGTGCCAGCGCATCAGCTCCTCATCCGGCACCGCCAACGGGGGGCTGAGGGAGGCCAGGAACGCCTGGAGCGGGGGCAGAGCTGCGTCACGCGAGCGGTGCCGTGCTCAGCCCCGCGCTGCGCTCGCTGTGAGCGGCCGGCGAGCTCAGGGCAGCCAGGGATGCAATTCCCGATGCTTCCCGGGGGGCAGCGAGGGATGCAATTCCCAGTGCTTCCCAGGCTCCCTACCCACACCAGCCTGCCAGGAATATCCACGGCCTGCGCCACAGCCTGGACACCCTCCCAGGCCGCCCCAACGCTTCTCTGGAAAGTGTCGGGAGGAGACGTGGAGCCCAAAAGGGCAAAACCCACCCACGGCCCAGGGAACGGGAGACTGTCCAGGCCACAACCCCAAGGGGCACCAAGGCAATGCCAAGGATGCCGAGGTGCCCGCTCACCTTGTGGTGCTGCTTGACGATGCTCACGAGCCCGCGGTTGAACTCCYTCCTGCGCTCCAGCAGGCGCGCGGCCGACAAGTGCGGGCGGCCGTCCACCTTCTCCCCTGCGACGGGAGCGCCCGGCGTCACCCACGGCCCTGGCGCAGCCCGGCCGGGCGCGCGGCGCAAAGCGGGGCCGGGCGGCAGCTGCCTGGGCGCCAGCCAAGGCTCGAGAGCCTCTCGAGGGACGGGAGCCGGGGCTTGTTGCTGCCTAGTGCCTTCCAGCAGCGCCGCTCAACCTCGCGCGCCTCCCACACGTGCGCTCCGCTTCTGGCACGCTCAGGGCCTCACAAATCAGATTGCTTAATAGACCAGAGCAAGGCAGCACGGAGAATAATCCCRAGGCCTTGGGGATCCCCACGGGACCCAGGTGTCCGTGCCCACCTCTGCTCTCCCAGGACCCCCCGCTGCCGGCTCGTACCTTCCCCCAGCACCGGCTCGAGCGTGAGCTGATAGTCTGACTTCTTCATGCTGCTGCTGAACGTGGGGATGTTGTTCTCCTGGCGCAGCCGGTAGGATTCGGGGTACACGGCCTTGATCTGGCCCACGTGCCGCTCCTCAAACTGCCTGCGAGAGCCCGGGGAGGTCAGACAGCGCCGGGGGGGCAGCAGGGCCCCCATGCCAGCCCTGCCCACGCTGCACCTACTTGCGCATCACGTCCTGCACGCCCTGCTTGACCTTGGCGAAGGTGACGGTTTCGGAGCGGTTGAAGAGCATGCCCACGATGGTGTCCATCGTGCGGAACATCTCCGCCAGCACCTTGAACTTGTAGGGCAGCGTGAGCCCCGGGGGCACGTCCTGGGCCAAGGTGTGGAAGCGCTGGTACGCGGGGGCCTTCTTGCTGCCGGGGGAGGGACAAGAGGTGTCAGCTCCTGGCGCGCTCCTTGCAGGATCTGCGACCTCCCGGACGGGCCGTCTCAGCATCCCGTCGCCTCCGGACCAACCTCCCGCCCAGCAGCACGTGCCACGCTCGCCCCGGTTAGGAGGGTCGCCTTCCTCCCCCATCCCTGCAGCCTTCTCCAAGCAGCTKCTGCCACATTTGGGTCACGTCACCCGTCCTCTGCTTCCGCCAAGGGCTTTGCACGTGGCCGGCCGCTGCTGAGGCCCGCACGTTCCTGCTCCCCGCCGCTCACCTGGCCGCCCGGGCCGTGTCGCTGCCCTCCTCCGAGCTCCCCGCCTCCGCTTCGGCTCTTTCCGCTCTCCTCTGGCGGATCCTCAGCTCCAGGGCCCGCGCTCGCTTCAGGTGGCTCTGCAGCTCCGCGCCGGCCTCGGGGGAGGCCGGGGGCACCTTGGCGAGCTCCGCGAGCGTCTTCATCCTCTGCAAGCGGCACTTCAGCTCCGCGAGGCTCTCCTGCGGCACGGGAGGACAGTGACATGGAGGCACCCGGGCCCGGCACACCAGTGAATTTACCAAGTAAATTTACCAAGTGCAAYCCCACGCTGCAGAACCAGAACCTGTGGGATCATTAATGCCCCTTCTCCAGGGGCCACCCTCCCTCCAGCCCTGGCATTTACAGGGAGGAGGGTAAAAGGAGGTCAGCACAGGGTGGGCTCTGGGATACACAACTACCCCCAGTCTTACCTGCTTGGACTCTCTGCTCCGGCCCGGCGTGGCTTGGCCAGGCTGCATGGTGCCGGGCTGCGCTGGCCCGAGGGGCGCACGGGACGGCGTCTTTGTCACTGCACCGAGCGAGGAGGGTGTCCCTTTGGATGAGGCGGGTGGCAGCGTGGTGGCCGGAGGGCTGGAAGCCTGCGGGAGAGTGGGAATGGTGGGTGGTCAAGCCTGATGGGTGCATTGCTGCCCTGGGTGCAGGCGACCCCCCCCCCCCCTTCCAGCCCAAATGGGGGTAGGGAGAAGGCTGCAAACTCCTCCAGCCCCGCACCAGGTTTTAGCATCCCCTGCCCCAAGCCCGGCTCCCCCGCTGCCCCTCACCGCGCCCGGCGGCTCCGCATCCCGCAGCGGCTCCGCATCCCGCAGCGGCTCCGCATCCCGCAGCGGCTCCGCATCCCGCAGCGGCTCCAGCCTCTTCCGCGCCTGCTTCCCGCTGCGCTCCGCGCCCGGCTCCTCATCCAGCTCCTGCCGCCGCCGCTTCCTGCCCGCCAGCCCCGGGGCGCTGCGGTCACCGCCGCGGGGCCGCGCGGGGGTGCGCGGGGAGCCGGGCGGCCCCGCGGGCTCCGCGCTCAGCGCCGGCTTCCCCCGCGGCCCGGGCAGCGCGGCCTTGAGCGGGCGCTCGGCCCCGGCCGCCTTGGTGCGCCCGAAGAAGTCGGTGACGCGGAGCTGGGCCATGGCTCCCGGTCCCGGTTCGCGGTCCCGGTTCCCGCCCACGTGCGCGCCGCCGCTCCCGCGCGGAGTTGGAGCCGCTTTGGCGCGAACCCGCCGCGCGCGCCGTCACGTGACGCAGCGCGGCGCGCCCGGGAGCCGATTGGCGCCACTGGTCTCTTAAAGGCGCCGCGCCGCTTCCTGGCCGGGCCGCACGTGGGGGTCGGGGGCAGGCGGTGGGGAAGGGATGGGGAGGAAGGGGGCAACGGGGCGGTGCGGGGCCGGCCGGGGGCTGCCCGTCCCGCTGCGCCTGCCCCGGCTTCGTGCGGTCCCTGYTCCGTGCGGCCCTGGCTGCTGCTCTAGATGCAGAGCCTTCGCGGTGTATCAGGCCTTGCTGTGATGCATCGCACCCTGCGATGCAGGGCGCATTTGAATCCTTTGGGATTCGGTGGAGCCCTCTGTGGTGTGTTGGACTCCACCATGGTGCRTCACACGCTTCTGTGGTACATTGGACCTCACTGTGATGTGTCTGTCCCCACCAGGGTGTCTCAGACACCTCTATAGAATCATTATGGTTAGAAATGACCTTTAAGATGATAAAATTCAACCATTAACCTATCAACTTTATACCTGCTAAACCACATTCCTAATGCAACTAATCTCAGGGTGCATCAGACTCCTCCGTGGAGCATCAGCCCCCACCATGGTGTATCAGACCYCGTTGTGCTGCATCAGATGCCACCGCAGTGTCTCGGTCCCTGCTGCGCTGTATCAGGCTCTGCTGCAGCGCGTGGGACCAGTGCTGTGGCTTACGGTGCTCTGCACTGGCCTAATTGAGGCACAAACACATCCCACTTCTTTGGATACCAGACGTTGCTCCACAGTGTCCCATCTGGGACAACACAGAGCCTCAGCCCCGCTCCATTCCACATCAACTGCTGCTCCTTGTTGAGAGGATCCCACGTAGCGGTGACTTAGCCACATTCTGGGACACCTTTGCACCCACGTTCTTCCCCAAGGGATGATACTGGGTGCTGTGGTGGGAATTACAGGCTGATTCCCTCTCTGAGATCCCGAGGGCGATCCAGGCAGGAGAAACTGGCTCGCAAAAGCAGTTGCAATTCCCGGCGCAAAAGCCCTGAAGCCCAGGACGGGCTGCACAACTCGCTCTGCCACCGCTTGCGGCTCCGTCCCCAGGCCTGGGAAGCGGGGTGGTGTTTGCAGGCTCCCAGCGAGGCAGGAAGACTCCCGGCGTTCCYAGCGTTCCACCTTTTCCTGGAATACCGGTATCTGCTCCAACCGGAGGGCTGCAGCTGGAGCATTGCAGCTGCAATTTGAAGGCTGGCTTTTGTGGGTTTGCAGGCACTTCGTTAATGCAGGACTTTGTGGCTGGGTATTGAAGAACATTTTACTATGGCCTATCCCGCTGGATCTCGGCTCGCAGGGATCAATACGGCCTCGCCTGCCAGGCAGAGGGGGCCGAGGCCTCGTCCTGGGGATGCTCAGGGGGCTTTTCTTGTCCGCAGCCTGTCCTGGATCCCAGGGAGCAGCGGGCAGCCGTGCACGGCAGCAGGTCGGGACACCGGCAGGGCAGGAGCTGGATGGAGCCCAGGGAAGGAAGCAAAGGCCGTCAAGGACCGGCGATGGTTTATTAAGCGCGTTTGGGAAACAAACAGGAGAAAAGCCAAAGAATGCGGGGAATTTCACGGGCCGGCGGTTCCTGTTGGGGCTGAGCGGTGCTGCCAACGCCAGCGCTGCCAGCTGCCGAGCAGGACCCTCGCGCGGGGCAGCGGGTGAAGCACGGGGCACACGGGCACGTCCCCTGCTCCGGGCTGAGGACGGACTCCCCGCTCCCAGGCCACGGGTCTGGGCTCCCTGCTCCCGGAGCTCGCGGCAGGCAGCCACAGCCAATTCCGGGAGCGCGTGACATTCCCACCCCGCTCCGCGGCTTCCGAGCTCTCTGCGGACATTAGCTCGCCCCGGAGCCCGGCCGAAGCACTCAGCCTCAATTAGCTTTTTTTATTTATTTTTTTTTTACGATGCGCAAACAGGAAGCACAGTCTCCACAGTCTCTTCTTTTTGCCACAAACGCCCTTGCTGCAGCCTGCCCGCCCGCATGGCAGCGCGGGCTGCG